ACAATCCAATCCCTTAGGATTAATTCCATTATTATTCGTATTAAATTCCCGACTAGTATTTCAATACTAGTCGGATAATCTTAGAACAACCAAGTTCTTAATTCATAGTCAAACATTTCATTTCAATTGATTCACCAATCAAAAGTATAGTTAAATCTTAATATCAAAAATATCACTTTTATCCATTCATGAATTTCATACATGAAGTAAAAGTATATTTTATCACAATACTTCACAATTAATTCCATTATCATGCCATCATATTCATAACGCATAATCATACACAATTTCTCTAAATTCGTATATCATGCTTCATTCACTCATATGCACTAGTATTTTCATTTAGGCATTATTAATCATTAATAATACATGAAAATCACATTTAATACCTTAGGTAATCTTATGAAATTAACACAACAATTATAAGCAATATAGTTAGTCATCCTCACCTCGAATGAGCATTAAGAAGTTCTACCCTTCTCGGTTGAACTCCGGCAACAGTTAGGAACACCTTAGTCAAGCTCCTAACAAGGTTTTATCATCACAAAACCCATATCAACACAAATAACCTCTAAAAGGTTATTTTCCGGTGAACCGGTCAATTGGCTTCTAAGTCCGTTCTTAGACTTAGAACTACCTTGCAACCCCTTGTTGTACACTTCTAAACATGTAGAACAATCATAGGGGTCCTCCATATGCTATATGAGTCATACGATAGATGAGAAAAGAAAAAGAAAAAGTCATTATAAGGTCATTACCTTAATCTTTCGCACTTTCCCTATTTTTTTCCTTCTTTAATCTTCTTCTTTGGATCTCTATTTCTTGAGCTCGAAATTTTCAGGAATGGAGGAGGGTTTGAGAGCTTCCTTCCTCTTTCTTTATGTCCTGGGTCGAAATTATGGAGTGGGTGGGTGAAGAGATAGGCTCTTGGCTTTTCTCTCAAAAAAATGTGGGAATAGGCCCCCCATTGTACCTTTGATAGACTCCTCCCACCTCCTCCTTGCCTCCAATGATTGGTAAGTCACCTTAGCCAACTATGGTTGACTTATGAGAGGTGCAAATTCGTGGGTTGGCCCCCACACATGTGGGAGGTCACCCTTTTGAGTCCAGAAGTGTTCAATCGGCCCCGAAAGTTGTATTTCTCATACTGTATTAATTATATTTTATTTTATCGGGCCAAATAAAATACATCACACGTTCCTAATCATTATAGGACTTTAGAATAGATGTACATTCCCCAACTTTAATTTAGGAGTCTAAGACATTCATTTCGGGCTGTTATTCGATAAATTATCAATACCAGTAATTGGGCCTCGTTTGGCCAACGGGTCAACTCTATGCCTTTTGTATGGCCCAACTAAAATGTCCAACACCATAAACATATTAAGAGGTATTTTTTTAATCTTTTAATTTTATTGTGTTTTTAATTCAAGTTAAAGACTAAATTACAGCTTTGCTGGATATGAATTTGATTATTATTTGTGAACTTGTAAATCATTTATCAATTACAGTATGAATTTGCTTGTGACTCTGATGTCTTATTTTATCTGTTTAATCTTCTTTTTATTTTGTTTAACAAATTTCCCTAGCAAACTAGCTAGTAGAACATGAATTTTGGTGGTAAATTCATTTTTATATCAGACCCCTGCTAATTCAGACCCCTGCTAATTTGTTTTGATATCCTACTATTTATTGTACGTATTTCAGTTTGGGATGCGGGGTAGTTAGGCTCTTCAAGTAATTATTGTGGGAAAGGAAGGGATATCACATTCAAGCTTCTTTACATAGTTCACATGAATTGTGACTTGTTCTTATTAATGTAATTATTAAGTTACATTAATAAGAAGTACAAGGTGTTCCTTTAGTTTACAAGTTGTTGACAAGTTGTTTATAAGGTATTTCCTTTAGTGTTGAAAGAGTATTTTCAGCAATGAATATCGTGAAAGATAGGTTGAGCAACCGGATGAGTGATGATTGGCTCAATGATAGACTTATTGTTTATGTACAAAAGACATCTTCTTGAAAATTGACAATGATGTCATTATCAAACGATATCAATCGATGAAAACCCGTAGAGAACAGTTATAAATTATGATGTTTTTGTATTTGACTTTAATGAAAACTCTTATTCATATAATCTTTATTTTTGTCTTTGATTTTGTTGCTATAATAAATGTTTTTTTGAATATTCGTTTTTAATTAAATTTTGGCCTCACCTGGATGCCAAAGCTAGATCCGCCCCTGCTTGTACGTACCTAGAAGTTTAGGTGTTCTCTTTCGGCGATTTATTTTAAGACAAATTCTGTCTGGCGGATTTGCTTTTTCCGTGCTTCAAGGCAGGAGTGTTGGGAGATGGCGGTGTTATGTGTCTTATTAGTTGAAATTGTAGGTGAACGAGAAATCTCGCTCGTTTAGATTCCTAGCAAAGTCATTACATTGGTGATGTAATCCTGATTGAAACGTTTAGCGACATTCCTCCAACCCTAGATCTGATTTACTCAAATGTCGTCATGCTCCTCAATCTCTCTATGGTGCGACCGTTAGCCCGCTCACCTCCTGAACCACCACCACTTGACAGAGAGGTGGATGTAGAATTTGTAAGTTTGAAGAGTCAAGAATAAATATCATTGATGTTCATATCGTTGTGAGTCGTGACATATCTGTTGTCCTGTTGATCAAGCTAGGGCGTGACATGGCTGGACATTGACGACTCATTACTGTCTTTTTTTACAAATGCACTTTTTAATTATTTTTAGTAGTTATGGTTCGTTCAATACTCTACTTTATTTTTTGTATATCTTATATGGTGGCAAGAGTTTTAGACCGGTCATGGATGACTTGCATGTGCCCGTATGATGATTAGCGAAACATATTGCTCCTAGGTGGGTGATTGGCTCAAAATCTTGTCCAAGAGCGTATGGTCAAACAATGATTTCTAGTTGTATTGTATTTTGTCTTGTTTTTGATATATTAATATATAAGTCCCTTACATTCAAAAAAAACTTTATATGTGGATTGTCCATACGGTGACCCAGATATACACCACATCAGATGAATAAAATCGATTTAAAGAAAAAGGATACTTGAGTATATTATCAAGTACTCCCTCCGTCCCTAAATTATCTTCAAACTTTCCTTTTTCGTCCGTCCCAAAATTATCTCTTCCCCCTTTTAGCAAAAAATTTGTGGTTCACAACCATTCTTACACATTCTTACACATTTCTCTCTCCTCTGCACAACTCTCCACCACACAAATCCCACTATCTTAATAAATGTGCCCAGTCGAAAAGGGAGAAAGATTAGGGACGGAGGGAGTACTTCTTAATAGTGACTTCTCCTTTGTATCAAATTCAGGAAGTTGAGGATGAAAACTGAAGCAGGAAGTGTCAAATAGTGACTGAACGAGGGCTAGCCCTGGGGCAACCAGTTGTTATACGGTATGACCGGTATACGGTGAGCACCGTATACCGGCATACGGTTTTAGGCAACTTTGGAAGCTCCGCATGAAACATGTATTAAAATGATAGTGAGTCCTATTATTTATTTATTTATTTTATTGTTAAAAATTATAATAACTTTTTCATTTTTGATCTGGTTTTTATAAAATTTATATCATAATTTTTTATTTTTCATGATCTTTCAAATGAGACCCATATTGCCTATGTAATTTTAACATATTATCGAAATATTATATTAACCTATATAAAATATGTAATTTTACGTGTAGAAATATGTAACTCACGTCCAGTCAAGCCAAATGTAACTCGTGTGTATAAATATGTAACTCTACGTGTAAAAATATGTAACTTTACGTGTAAAAATATGTAACTCGCGTTCAGACAGGTCAAATACAACTCGTGTGTATAAGTATGTAACTCGCGTGTATAAATATGTAACTTTACGTGTAAAAATATGTAATTTTACGTGTAAAAATATGTAACTCGCGTTCAGGCAGGCCAAATGCAACTCGTGTGTATAAATATGTAACTTTACGTGTACAAATATGTAACTTTACGTATAAAAATATGTAACTCACATTTATAAATACATAATACAATAAATTTTTTATATACACAATTTTAAGAATAATTGTTATTTACACAATTATTTTTCTGTATTAAATTTAGTTCGGTTTCCCTTATAATTCAATAATCATTTATATAATAGTTCGATAATTTGTTAAAATCACATAAGCAATATTGGTCTCATTTGATAGATCATGAAAAATAACAAAATTTAATATAAAATTTATAAAAATCGGATATGAAATAAAAAAGTTTTACAATTTTTAACAACAAAAGGAATAAAAATAAAGAAATCGTATACGCTGCTTGCCAAAAAGTATGACCGGTATACGGTGCTCACCGTATACCGGTCATACGGTATAATTTGCGGGGGGGGGGGGGGGGGGGGGGGGGGGCAACGGGGTGATCGACCTAGGCTCGAAAAAATAGGAGCAAAATTAGACTTTTTTCTATATATGGTTTAACCGTGTAAGTAGTTTTTTAGTTTTTTTAAGGTTAATTAATTAGGCATTTTGGCCTCAGGTTTAATTTTTGTGACAACTTAAATTTTTTAGAATAGAAGTAAAAAAACTTAAACGAAGCCAAGTTTAAAAATAATACTTCGTATAAATTAACTTTAAGTAAGGTTGGTTGTAGTTCTTCAAAGCAATACAATTGTTGCTCAAACAATGAAAGACATGTCTCTTCACATATCTTTAACTTTTAAGGTTTTTTATTCTTTTTAGAATGTTTTTACTTGGACTGTGTTCAGTCCAGACCATATCAGGCTTGGACAATTATAAAATACACAGAGATCAGACATTTTAGCATACCAGATCAGATCAGAAAATTACAGTTCAAATAAAAACATCCTTAATTACAAAAATACAAATTTATATTAGTGGAAATATCCGCAACTAGACACTTTTGGGTCTAGAATTTCATTAATGTGCCCTTAGGAAATACTTATCATATTTAACTTTCAAATTTTCAATTATTCTTAACTATTTCAATAAAAGCCTAATTCTAAATTTAAAATGAATCGCAGACGACACTCTCGTCCTCTCTTATTCTTGTCTCCTCCAAATCTCTTCTCCCTTCTCATCCGCCATGGTTTTCATCTTCGACTTCTCATCTGCAGCTTTGCAAGCATGCCAACTCGCCACAGTAGCCGCATCCTGGGATGCAACCTCGTTGACCGCTTCTTTGTCTCATAGCATGATAGCCTATCCTGCTCACCGCACCATTCTGAAGCTCCCAGCAGATGAAAATATCCTGTCAAAAGGTAATTCATTCGGCCCTCCTTGTTCGCTTGTCATCTCTTAATCGCATCGTCTTGAATCGCAACTCTACTATACACGGCCATTCTGAGCTGAAAATCTCTATTTATTAGGTTTTACTGAAATTGAATTGAATAATAAACTTCCGCAAAATCTAATTCAATGTTTCCCGTAGTATCAAACTAATTTGGTTCATGCACGAATTAAAATTCATTCAAGTTACAGCAACAATTAATAAAGTGGATGAAACTGAACTAATTTTATAGAATTATAGATATGCTTAACTTTACCAAGGGGTAGTTGCTCTCATAGAACATTTTATATTCTATATGCATATTTTAGGCTCTAATTTCCTTAAAAATTGGTTAACCCTGTTTTGGTTGTTGTCTGTGACCTCCATTAAGGATGGAAGATATATTTTTACCCAAATGATGATGAAATATTAGAAAAAAGTGATTTTACCTACTTTCATTTTACTGATTCATCCTTTTATCCATTATTGCAAACACAATTCATGAGTTATTATTTTTGTTTCCTTATGTTTCTTTTTGTTGCTTTTGTTTCTTCTTTGTGCTTTTTAATTGTTGCTTTCTGTTGTATCTTATTTCTTTTTGTTGTACTTGTGGCTTCAGGTTTATCATTCTTCAGCTATTGCTTTTTATTGTTTATTTTTATGTATGATTCCATTATATTTGTACATAGTAATTTAATATTTGGGGGTGGGTGCAGGCACACACTATGGGTTGCTATTTTTGCAAAGTATAGATGAATTTAGTGATATATATATATATATATATATCTTTTTCTTGAAATGTTCATAGGAAGTGTAGCAGAAGTATGGTCATTGTAGGCTGAGACATAAAAAGCATACTTCTACCGCGCTCGGTTGTCAAAATTGTCTTAAACAATACGAAGATGCAAGGATAATGAACAAGATCGTTCAACTATTTGTTTCCTGCGTCATTTACATGGTTTTGAAGCCTAGGAATGAGTATATTTTTGCTCATAAGGTGATTAATGTTGATAATATGTTTTGCATATTAAACTCTTGGTGGAATAAACTTAAAAGGTTTTATTTTCAGGTCCTTGAAGTAATCAAGAATAATTATGTTTAAGGAAGATTTGTTTTGTTGCACATTCTGTTTGAAGACTTGTTGCTAGATATACTTTGCCATACTGTATATTCCTACAAAAAGGGGAAAGCAGATGACTTATCTAATGATTCTCTCAAAGAAGGGTCAAGGTGAAGAATTGTTGGTTTGGTACCCATGAGTCGATTTGTGTATATAAAGATTGACGCGTGTTCTTTTATTTCCGTTCCCAAGTAGTAAAAATCCCATTTCTTGCTGGCTTTGGGGAGCGTATTTGGGGGTCATCATGAGCTACCTGGGTCTTGGAGTTAGCCCCCGAAATGTTCCAGTCTACCATGGCAGCAGCTTGAAGGTGTTTGATAAGAGAGTGAGACTTGCAGAGCTGGTTTTGAGGTGTGTCATATGTGCCTTAGCTCTAATTACTGCTCTTCTTATAGCTACAGACACCCAGGTCCAAGAGATCTTCACCATTCAAAAGAAAGCTACATTTAAAGACATGAAAGCCCTAGTGTTTTTGGTGGTATCCAATATATGGGATATTAGCTGCCTACTCACTTGTTCAGGCTGTGAGGTGCACAGTGAGTATCATCAGGGGAAGTGTTCTCTTCAACAAGCCCCTAGCCTGGGCTGTTTTTTCTGGTGACCAGCTGATGGCATACTTAAGTTTGGCTGCTGTAGCAGCTGCTACACAGTCTGTTGTGATAGCAAAGTTCAAGCAGAATGAACTGCAATGAATGAAGATATATAACATGTATGGAAAGTTCTACAACCAAGTCGCGGAAGGCATCACAAGTTTGTTGTTCGCTAGCATAAGTTTGGTTATTCTCTCAGGTTTATCGACTTTTAGTCTCTTCCGTTTATACGGTGAAAATAAATCCAAGTGCAATGGGAGATGAAGGCTGGACTAGAAGTTGTGTAGGATTTAGCTGTTGGACTTTGAAGACTAGTAGTAGTGTATTTTAGTGGCTATTCGTCGTGTATGTGAAAGTGGATGTTATAGATTAGTGGCTGTGTAAAATACGACATGAAAATCCATGTTTGTAACCTTTGTTGCTCTCTTTACACGTAATGCATTCATCAGACAAAAAAAGTGTGTGGTTTCTTATATTTTTTTTCATTTTGATGATAGTTATTGAAGTGCCCATAAATGGGACGACAACGGGTTTCAAGAAGGCAGTGGAGGGAGTTTGAGTTATATATTTTTTGTGATGGTTTTATATGTTATTTTTGTTGCTTTTTGTTGCATTGTACATGTTTTTTGTTGCATTATGTTGTTTTTTGTTGCAGTGTGTTGCTTATTGTTGTTTCTATGTGATTTGGAGTTTTGTTGTTTATTTGGATTGATGTTTATCTTTGCTACTTTTTTGAAGTGAAAATCATATGTGTATATAATAGCATATTCAATCACATAAAATGATAAATCTATGAATATAACCCAACCACAAGAAACCCAAAGACACAATAGCAACAAAAAATTTCAAAGTTATCATCAAAAGGAAACAAAAAGAAACAATAGACCATAAAAAAAAACAACAAAATTATATAATAAGTATTTTTAGATTTTGAACAATTAAAAATAAATTTTATTTTGTAACAATTTAGAAAAATGAATTATAAAATTCATATTTTTAAACTTTTTCAATGTTTCAATGCTATTTTATTTTTCATTTTAACATTTTTTATTTTTGAGTTTTATACTTTCATATTATTTTGTTTAATAATTTTTTCTACTTTTATTTTTAAAAAAATTGTAGTTTCATTTTTTACAGTATTCAATTTTAATTTTTAACTATTTCAAATTTATATTGTATTTATTGAATTTAGGTTCTTTTACATTTTAGATATTTCGATTTCTAAAAGAATAAATGTTTCATAGAAGCTTCTAATTGCCTTTCATAATTCTTAATAATATAAAAAAATTAAAATTATTTATTGTTTTTTAAGATTCTAGATATTTGAGATTTTAACTTTATTGTTTCATTTTTTGAGCATTATTTATTTATATATTTTCATTTTTTATTAATTTAATATATATTCAATTATTTATATTTTTGATTGTTTTATACGTACTTTTTATAGAAAATTTGGAGCATATGAAGTCTTCTAAGAGATTAACATTACAAGAAAATGTTATTTTTCTACAATTTTTCCACTTTATAAACTATTTTAAACATTCTTTATTTTTATTTTAGAGTTTTGTATTAACTTCCAAGTTTTCATCTTTGATTTACTATGCATTATAGGATTTTTTTATTGATTTGATTATTTTAGTATTTTAATACTTTTATTATTTTCTAATAGTCTTCACGATTTTTACATTTTAGTAAATATTTATTTTTCCTATTTAAAAACATGAATTGAGTCATTCTTGGAGTTTGTATAAATTTAAAAAAGAAGGGGTTTATAGAAAGCGAACAAAAAAAGAAAAAAAAGGAAAGCCTACTTACTGCCCAGGCACGCTTCTTTAGAGCATGGATTCCAGTGGCTTACTACCCCGTTAATTGTATAGTCTATATTTGAAAGAAAAAATTTAGTTAGCCTGTTTTTGAAATGAACTCTTAAACATGAAAAAATTGATATTAGTTTCAATCTTTAGTCCACTTCCGTAAAATTCCCTTTATATTATTGTCTTTGTGCAACTATTGCCTCCCAAATTCCAAATCACAGCCTAATTATTTTCAAATTCTAATTTCAAACAAAGTGATCATTAGACAATATTCAAATCCCTAATAATAGTTTTAGAGGACTTTAAACTAGCAGTCTTCTTGAGGAGAGAACGCCGCAATGAGCAGTGTAAAAGCAAGGAGCTCAAACGACGATCAAACTCTTTGTCTCTTTTAAACCTTCACTCTGTCATTTTGTCGAAGCTTCAAACTTTCAATTATAAGCGATCCATAAATCATTCTCAATCTATAAATTTCACAATATTTTTTTCATTTATCCTTTCAAATGTATTGGCATCAAAATTTAGTTTTGTAGTATGTGGCATTTTTATTGTCATATGTGGAATCAAAGTTGAGTTGGAGGCTACTAAACAATTTTATATTTTTTATTATTTGTAATTTTTATTATTGAAAAAGGTTGATTATGAAATGATTATTGATGATTCTTCTTTACTATATTCAGTCACAAATATGACATATGTTGTCTTTCACAAACATGATGAGTATAAAGGTGGGTATAAGAGTGGATACAATTTTTTTTTTGAGTAGATGAAGGAGATGTGGTGGCCTGGTCTATAGAGCAGACCTCCGAGATTGGATGTGAGAGTAATATATAATAGAAAATGTGATATTTAACATTATTGTAATTTCAAATTGGAACGGTAATTGCTTGATAACCAATATTCCCTCAATATCTATCAGATTTACATTTTCTCAACATATTAGATCGAATTGGGTCACTAGACACTCATTCTTTATTGTTCTAACTTTTAAATCTTCTTTATTCATACTTTATCAATTTAATATTAATCACATAAATTCATTTTTTTAATAATAACACCGTCTTTTAATGTATTGAAATTAAAATAACACTAATGTTGCACGTTTTTTAAATAACAGAAAGCTGGCACGTTTTGGAAGCGTATGTTGTTGGCATACTCGTACATATTGTTGTGACTTGTCACTCGAGTATGAGGGTTGGTCTACAGTAACTATCAAACATGTGTTAATTAAATAGTATCGTCACTAGTAGTATGGGGCAGTCAAACTGGGGTTGTCGCATATGAGTTACTCCTCAGCCAAACAGGCCACGATAAGACATGTTTTGTCTTGTAATATGACAATGGATATAAGAGTGAGTATAAAAATGAGTACAAATAACAAAATTGTAATCTAACAAGATTTTTGCCCAAAGTTTACAGAAAACCCAAAAACCTGGTCGGGTTCAACCATGTTTTGAAGGAACCAGAACAGGTCCAAACTAGTTCCGAATATCAGTTCTGGTGGCTAGTGCAACCAGCCCGGTTCTTACCTAGCCCCATTCTGGCCCGGTCCTGAACTGGGTCCACCTAGGCATGAACTGGGCCCGAGCCGGTTCGGGCGGGCTTTTTTCGGAATCTTGGGCCCAGGTTGATACCGGGTCCGTGCCAAACCGGGCCGAGCCAGTTCAATGTATTTTTTTTGGCTTTCTAATTAACCCCCGACCCCCCCCCCCCCCTCACCCTCACCCCTCAAACCTCCCCAAAACACCCAGCCAGGCCAGCCCTACCCAAGGAAAAGAAAAAAAATTGAAAAAAGAAAAAAGAAATGAACTAGGCCCGGCCCAGACTGCCCGGCCCAGTTCATGAAAATCAAGGCCCGAGCTCGGCCTGCCCAAACCGGGCTAAAGCCCGGAACCGGCCATCCGGGGCCGCACAGTAGCGGGCCGGTCCGGTTCCCGGGCCAGTTCAGCCCGGTTCCCGGGCAGGTTCGGCCCGGTTGGGTCCATCCATGGGTCCACCCCAAGCCATGCAAAGTTTAATACAATCCATATACAATATTATAAAATTAAAATTTACTGACAAAGTACAACCCTTGAACAAGGATCAAAGTCACACGCAGACACACTTAAGCAATTAAGCCTTCTCTAACTATTAATCTAATACTCCTAAACCAACTATCATCTAAAGCTAAGAGTAATTACAAGTTGGAGAGTTACATTTACAAGTGTGATGACTCTTGTGTGTATACTTCAACTTTCACCCTTGATTATGAAAGTTGTTGTAGTTCGAATAGCCTCCACCGCCACCTCCAGGGCAAGAAAAACTTGCCTGGGGAGGAACAGTCTTTGTATCAACCGCGGTAGTAATGTCATGGATGCTTGACCTTTTGCGCTCTTTCTTCATGGATTGTTGCCGGAGGTAGTACTTCTGTGCATGGCTTGCCACTTGCGTAGGTGTTCTCGTGACCACTACATTCCTTGATATGCTTCTCCAGTCACCCTTCCCGTATCTTTCGAGCCCAATGAGAAATAACCTTTTTTACTCAAAAACAGCAGTAGTTAGTATAGGAGATCAAGAATCAGACTGAGTTATCTACACATACAACCATAAATGCCAGTTAAGAACATTAAAATGAGAGTTCACAAATCTAACTACCATAACTACCACTTTAATTAATTAATTAATTAATTAATCAATGATCAAGAAACAGATGAACAGCCATGTTTTGGTAGCAAGAAAGGACATTTATGTAGGATGGTGATAGGAGCAGCGCAAGGGTCAGTTTAAAAGTACACTATTGTCCTTTCATTATTACACTTAATAAAAAAGGGAAATGATGTCATTACCATTAAGGAATGACAAAATTACAGTTAATTTTATTGTCCCTGCTCTTGCCTTCTCCTATAATTATCTTCCAGTAAAACCAAGTAATAAAGAAAAATCGCAAATGTCCATTTAATCCTCAGTGATGTCATCTCAAGCTATTAAAAACTTAGCTTAGATTCTAAATATTCTATGCATATGACATTGCTCTGTATCCATTTTATCATCCACAACAAATCGTAGTGGATATAACCAAACCATGATTCGGCAGCTAACAAGAACATTTACGTTAAACTAGGTGGTGTATGAAAGTTATTAATGTGCAAAAAAGTCCTCTAGAATTACAATTTTGCCATTCAAGAATTGAAATTCTTTGAAGTTCACAAGTCAACCAGAAGTCCACAACTATCGAACAAAGATTGACTAAATTCCTCAATGATAATACATCTGCAGAATTATGCAGATGAATGCTCAAGTTCTGAATAGAACTGCAATGGAAACTTAAAAGTTAAAACCCTAGACTCCATTACCTTCCCAACCTAGAGAATCAATATCAGTATATAGCCAACCTAGTTCTTGGTTTTGCTTATCTACCTCGATTTCTCACATCAATGGAATCAAACAACACTTTTAGGGCATCAACCTGCTCCAATTGCGAATCTATATTGAAACAATAACAGAAAAGAAATTAGAAATAGGTAGTCGAATGAAACGAACCTGTGTTCTTCTTCCGTCCAAGGAGTGCCCTTTTTCCGTTCAACCTCGCCCTGCTTTTTGTTATTGCCGAAAGAGATCTGACTGGGCTCGGCCTGGTCCCAGCCGAACGAACCATCCCGATAAGTCGGCAATTCAACTCGCCCGGAGTCAATTTCTCCGATATCGTGAACCAACGCCTCGTAGTGTGCAATAACGTCACCGGCGCTCTTCCCCGGAATTCGCTCGGCGATCCTCTGCCACCGGTCATCGCCGTCGGGAAACAGGACCAAAGCCTGCTCAAAAACCTTGTCCTCGTAACGAGTCCAACTCGTTGACGCCATCATCTCCGAGTCGCCAAGCAGCCACCGACTATTAGCTGGATACATCATCATTTTGTATCCCAATTTCTTTTTCTTTTTCAAGAATTTAAACAGTGAAGGGTTTGAAAGATTTAAGGGTTTTTGCGATTGCAGATTTGAGGAAGTGGATATGGAGAAGGAAAAATGATTGACGTCTCTACGACTCTACTTCGTCTATATATATACTTCTTGTTGGCATTAAGTTTGTTTGTTTTAATGAGAGCAATAATAGGAGATTTCAACCGGTAGGAGCAAAACGTACGGATTTTCCAAAACTAAGATCGAAGATTAGCGTAATACTCAACTACACCTTTATTGAGCACAATACCCTTATTTCTAGAAAATAATAGACATTAAATAGACATTAAATAGACAATAAGTAGACAATAAATAAATAAATAATTCTGGAAAGCAACCAGTCTAATGCTCCGACCCGTAAGGAGAAGGGGAGAATAAGAAGGGCCTGGTGCGCCGCCTCCCTAATTGCAACGATTCCGGCGAAGATGGAGGTGCGACGATTCCGGAGAAGATGGAGGTGTGACGAAGAAGAGAGATGAAGGTGCGATTCCAGATCCACAATTCCAAAATCAGAGCCGCTGCTTCCGTCGACCGTGGCCGCTGCCGCAGCTTCGAAAACACCATCTGTTGCCTTGTCGACAGTCTGACTAGCAAGCCTGTGGCGGCGGCGGCGTTCCTTTTCTTCAGCTACCCGTTTGAACTCTTTGAAGGGCAATTTTGGAAAGTTAGAAATAGGTTTTCTAATCTAGAACTAAATAGGTAATATGAATGGAAAAAACATTAGTAGGTATTGTTTTTGTAAAAGAGCTATAATTTGGTCCTACTAGGACCAAATTTCTCTTATTATTGGGAGATATTACTCGAAATAGGACTAAAACAGTTTGAAAATTCAAAAATAGGACTACCATGTTTTTATTCTCAAAATAGGACTAATTACTGCAATCTTTTGGCAATACCAGACTTCAAACATGGCAGTATTTCCTAAACATGGCAGTAATTAGTCCTATTTTGGGAATAAAAAACATGACAGTTCTATTTTGGAATTTTGAAACTGTTTTAGTCCTATTTCGGAAACTTTCTCGGAACAAAAAATACCAAAAACTTACTCCGTATTTAATAAGTTTCATACCAATTCTGTCAAAAAAACTTTCATACCATTTTTTTTCCTTACCTGCAAATAAATGCCAATGTGATCCTGTATCCAATTCCCAATTAAATCGCAGTGATATAAAAAAGTTAATACTGCAACAAACTCAAAATAAAAAATAAAAAAGTTAACTGGGGTTGACCCATCAACCCTAAAGGACCACTCGACGAACATCCTCCCAAAACCCAAGTCAACTGGGGTGCTTCTCTCGGATCATAGCGAGGTTCATCCTCAGGAGAACCATCCTACATCATAAAGGCCCAAGGGATGCACGTATCATAAGGCAGACAAATATCTTAGCCCAGGAGCAGCGCAAGACGCTCAGACTCTATGACTTGGGGCCAGCGGGACCCGGGAGGCAATCTCATGGGGACGCCCATCCCCACAGTTAGGCAGGAAACCCATATTCTGGCGGGAGGTCATTTAATGCAGAAGATTTGGTGGTTGAGATCCTAGACATCTGACCTGGCTAAACTTGCAAGTGTACAAGTGCCGATATAGTAATAAATTCCGGTGAAAGTGTCACTAAACAAAATACACCGAGGAAATGAATGAACCCTTTATTCTTCGGCTCTATGCACTAAGTTTTTAATGGCTCTACCGGCCGGGGGTATACATAAAAATGAAGGAAGTAAAGGGAAAGGAACAAAAGAAAGGAAATCAGGCTTGACAGCAGTTCGGAGACACACCCTTCTGCTTGTCCGTCCCCTGCTCCTTTTTCTCCCGCTACTCCTTCTCCTGCTTTTCCTGGATGTACTTTAAGGCCCCTTCATGAGCCTCAACAAAAGCTGCATTGAAACCAACGACGGCAGGATCGAAGGGGTCAGGAAAGTGTTGCTCAAGAACCTAGAGGTTAGACACCACAAGGCCAACCATACCCTTGGCATAGGTATCATCGGCCAGCTCAACCAGGAAGTCCTCGCCCGTGGGAGTAGAGTTCAGCAGCTCAATTCCTGCTTCTAAAGCATTTGGGCTCGTCGCCAAATACTCCCCGACGTACTTGGCCAAGAACCGCTTTGCAACAATCCGCACTGTTTCATTATAGGCTTTGGATTGTTGAAACTCGATAGAGCCGACCTCCTTGATCTTTGAGACATCAGCCTCATAGACAGGAGCAGTCCCCTCGGCGTCAACCCGGCGGAACTGCACCTTGGCCTTCTCTGCAGCCTCCAGCTTGGCAGAAGCATCTGCAGCTCTTCATCCTATTTACGGATGACCTCCTTCTGGGAGGCGTTCTCCTGGGAAAGCTTGCCCGCAACATCGGCTTTCTCCTGCATACTATTCAGACGCCCCCTAACCTTTGTGATCATATTTGCGGCCTCACCCCTCAGATGGGCCATAGCTTGATCTTGCTTCTCATAGGCAGACCGTGCCATGCTGAAGTAGATGGCAGCCTTATTAAGAGTGATGAGGCCGCACTCATGAAGATCCACCGGGTTCTCATAGGTGGCAAAGTCCTGAGGAACCTTCAAACCCAATGAACACCCGATTGAAGAGACTGTCTGGCCGAACATCATCTTGGACTAAGTGCGGTGGCCGGGCCCGGAGAATTCAATGAGCCCCATGGAGAGGTTGTGGAGCTCTGGTGGTGGAAGAACATGATCCTCCCTTTGTCCTTCCCCTTTTCCCTAGGGAGGACCCGCTTCTTAGGTTGATGATCATCGACAACATGTTTATCTCACGACTGTGTCACATGCTGACCGGCGTCAACGGAAGTTTTCCCCTTGTCTTTGCTAGGACGAACATGAATCGACGACAGGTTGCTACTGCAAACCATGGCAAGAGGAATAATATAAGCACCAGCAAGGAAAAGGATAACAGTCAGCATTGGAATATGCAAATAACCTTACACCCCAAGACTGTGACCGGATGTACCTAAGCCGACCCTGGACATGAGGGGTTCAACCATCAAAAGTCGAAGATTTTGGATGCCAAGGCTGGCGATACGATCAGTGTATCCCAACTCTTCATCCGACATGACTGGGTGACCGAACTTGATCAGGTAGGAGTTCCACCGGTCAGAGAAACGCATCGGGGAACCCACCTCAGCAAAAAAGAATTTATCCTCTCAATCGGACAGGTTAGGCCCATTGTTGGTAAAAAGTGCCTTCGTAGGGCGTGCGGTTATACATAAATAGCCTGTGGCCCTGAACGGATGGATCCGGAAGAAATGATGGAAGAGATCTGCAGAGGGAACCACCGCAACATTGTGATAGCATACTATGAAGCCCACAATAATCCTATAGGAGACGGGGACGAGCTGAGTAGGGGTGACTCAGAAATCCCTTAATAACTCCACATGGAAATGGTGCAGAGAAAATATTAGACCGGCTAGGACCGAATCTAGGTGTACGATCACATGGCCAGGCAAATGGCGCATGAGATGGCGGACATGACATACGTCGTGTCCCCATGGGGGAGGAAACAGTTGACCTATCATGCGCTTATCGTAGGGGAGTAGGCACTGACGTTGGCGCCAGATACAGGAGAAGTTGAGGGAGTAACAGGGAGGCCGTGGAGGCATTCCCCGATCGTAGAACTTCATGTCATCCCCGGATAGACATCCATCATCCGCCTAATCAGCAGATGTGGACGCCGTTCTGACCCGGATACTTGGGATAGTGGCCGTTATTTCTAGTCTCTGAGAACTCGAGGATTCTAACTGACTAGACATGGCGACATATGGATGAAAGAAAAGAGGACTTACTGAAAATCAAGGAAGCCTAGAGAGAGAAAGCGGACTGACAGAGTAACGACCAAAGAAGAAGGAACGACAGATCCTTCAGAAAAATGGAGTACTTATAAGCAGCACCGTCGAGCCTAACCAATCGGGGAAGAACACGTGGCAACCTGTGATCGGTGGACCCCGCGGAGAACATGGCCTTTCGGTATCCGCACCAGGCAAATGGCCACAAGTTTGGCATTACCTTGGAGGGGGTAGACATGCGTCTTCAAGGCCCACAACGAATGCATCTGTGGAACAAGTAACGCTTTTTAGAACACAATCAAGGGTTCGGAGATGATCATCGCCATAGAGGCAACATCCGGAAACATCCGAAAGCAGAGGACAACTGTCGACAAAATCAGTGGTGAGGGGAATCACGTTCCCAGGAGGGCACGTACGACCCTGGACTTTTTATTGGTCCAAATTTCAAAAAAAATGGAATCAAGTATGCCCTGAGAGCGAGGGAAAATAATTCCACGCACGGACTCGAGTACTTGAAAAAATGATGACAAGGGAAAATAATCCCACGCACAGACTCAAGTACTTCAAACATTATGATAAAGGGAAAATGTAGTCAAGGAACAATGTAAGCAAAACAAGGATTTTATTCTTCGGATCTACTAGCCGAAAATATACAAACAAAAAACAAGGAGCGAATACATCAAAGGAAACCATTGGCTGGGGAGCGGCGCACAGGCATCAGGCTCCGCCTCCTCTTCGTCGGAGAGCACGTCAGGGGTCGGAGGCTCAGGATCCTCGCCCCTCTCCACCGCTTGGCCCCTCTTCAGGTCAAGATCAACCTTGTCCTCCGTATGACCCGCCAAGTTGAAGGACGGGCCGCTAACTTTGGAGAGGATCGGCTTCAGGGCCTTCACCCCGAGATAAAATCCTTTGGCAAAGCTGTCCTCGACCACATCAAGCAGGAACTCAGCACCGAGCGGCGTACGATCCAGGAGCTGCACCCCATGAGCTAGGCGCTCCTTGGGCTTCTTCGCCTGCAGCTCGGCTTCAAAGACATCCCTAATGCCCGCCCCCGGCAGTAATTGTAGGTGGCGGTCATGAAGAGGGACGTCTTCTCAAAGTCAGAGATGTCGAGCTTCCAGGGAAGGGGTCGCTAGGAGCGGCCTCACCCTCAGGGGCCGGAGTAGAGGCAGGAACTAGGGTGATGCCATGCTTCTCCACCATGGCTAACTTGATTAGGAGATCTTGCTTCTCCTTCCCAGCCAGATCAAGGGCGGCCTAGAGCTTCTTCTTC